TTCTGTACGGTTAAATTTTACGGCAGCACCCTGTGCACACACAAACTGTTTCTGCTACTGCTCTGTGAGTATGTCTCTGATGATGAATCCACGACGGATTTCGAAACGTCCGGCGAATAAACATATTTTCCCAGCGATTGAGTCGTCTTCTACTTCTCAATATACACACCAGCCGGATACTCGACTCACTTATTCCATCGTGTCTCCAGGCTCACTCTCCTGCGCATCATCAAAAAGAAGTTGTTTGGGAAATCCCACCTGAAGCTTGCGATGCCGTATACTGTTGCCAAATACGAAGGGCCATTTCCAAACGCATCCGCTAACCGCCGCGCAAAAGCCCACATAACATCCTAGACCCAGTCATGAGACTTACTGCTGAGAAGCACTCCTGCACAAAATTGTTTTGCTAACCAATCATCACCAGTTAACTTCCACCTGCAACCACCTAAGTAAGTGAACTCTAATTTCAAGTTTACTATGCCGTCTGGAGATCAGAAATAAGCATGATTGGGGCATACTTCTACAAACGCTACTTCTTGTCTACCATCATAATCGTGCTGGTTGTCGTACTTGGGATTAATATCTACTTCCTTGGCGTTTTCCAACCGTCCTTAAAGACAATTTACCTACCCCACACTGGAATTGGTTCAGCCTCCTTTCTGCGGTCAGCAAACACCTCCGAACTGAGTACAATTGATGCCAAAATGCAAGCCCAATCATTTACGCCGTTGGGGGATTCTGCAAACTTTACGGTAGCCATTGTGGTGCCGTATAGGAATCGAAGCGAGGATTTGTCCAGGTTTCTAACGCATATGCTTCCCTTTCTCAGCACCCAAAACAGCCAGTGTGTCGTACTTGTCGTGGAGCAGGCTGGCAATGGCAGCTTTAATCGAGCTAAACTATTCAATGTCGCTATCAGGGAGATAAGGAATAGTGTTTCCGGTGATCGTCTGTTTGGCATCGAATGTTTCATTTTGCATGACGTTGACAAAGTGCCTTCTTCGCCTTTTGTTGTATACGATTGTGGGCAGAACGTCAGACAATTAGTCAATGCATTTCGCACTGGAAAACAAGTTACGCGGTGAGTACTGTTTACTCCGGTAGAAAATACGCATTTTTAATTATTATTTCCAGTACCGTTATGACGCGGTCAAACAGACCATTGACGGCAAACAGAAAACGCCTGTATCTGACACTAAAAAACGTGTACATTTTGTCATAATCTGTGGATTTAAATTGGCTAAATATATCGGCACATTATTTTTATTAGCGGTAAAGCAAAGTATGTCCGGTGTGCAAGCGTTGTCACTAACAGATAATACAGACTTGGGTTCTAGGTGTCAGAAGGGGTAATAACCATTTGACGCAAGTTTCATATTTCCCTATTGATCAGACTTTATACTATCGTTTTTCCTTACTTCAGAACATATTAATTATCACCAAGGTTTGAAGACACTATAGGTAGCTTAAGTAACGTTTAATGGACGCAGTGCATGAAGCAGGATTTCTGAATCAGCATTAAACTTCAATGCTGTATGCATTTAGACGGTCCGTCACGTTGGCTTTTAATACATAGATGCAGGTGAATTCGGCAGTTAAAAGCTTTATGGCTATCTAGATAATTATAGCTCAGACATTTCTGACCAAACGTCAACAAGGTATGCTTTACTCTTAGGTTGTACAATTCATTCCTGGGGGCAGCTACGGCCTTAAGTTGGAGGCATGTTGAAACAATTAACGGCGCATCAAACATCTTCTACGGCTGGGGTGGTGAAGACGATGACCTTTCGCATAGACTGCAGCTGAACAACATTAGGGTGGATCGACCTTTGGACACAATGGGAGTTTTCGCAGAATTCTCTCGAAATCATCCTCGTGATAGGAATACTCATGCAAGTGAATTATCTAGGCCCCAAAGCGTGGCCTTGCGCTGGCGAAAGGATGGTATTGCTCAAACACGTTACCAACTTCTCCACAGACGTGACTACGAACACTTTGTCTGGATTCTCGCGGCGATTTGAGTTCCAGCCAATTTTCACTCTCAATGGTTTCTTTCAAAATTCTTACCGCATGAGCCTTCACATTCCATAGATATGATCGCCGACCGCGGATCTTTGTTAATGCCGACTTAGCCTGAATTATATTGTTGATGGCAGTTTTAATCCCAGTTATGTAAGCATGTTTAATCCGCAACAGGAAACCCTGTAACTTGTGTTTTTTTTTTCAGTTGACATGCTGAGTGGGTATTTTACTACTTAATGGCAAGAAGCTGTTCAGGCCGTAGTGTCAAAACAAACATTTGAAAAATTAATACAATCGAGGAGGAGGAGTTAAGTTGTCTACGGCTTAGGTGTGAGTGCTTAGTGAACATAATGTGGGCCACACCTGCGAGGCCTCATACACGCTTTGGCAGTTAACCTTACGGGAACCAATCCCTATGGTGGTTACCAGCATGATCACTTAAGTCCTAAAAAATTCGCTTGCTGCAATCGTGTACGTTAACCGCAGCAGCCCGCAATTCGCCACAGAACCCGAACGAATATAGTTTGCAGTACGCGCTAGATGACGTAGCGGCATTTTCGAAGGATATAAACTACGCTTTAAAACCATTCAATATTTCTATGGTCGTTTTGGTCAAGGCCTACCGTGTGCATCGTCAATACGGTAACCTGCCGCGTGGCAAAGTTTTAACTGACAGTAAAATTGAGCTGCAGCCAACACCCACACGCAGTTCAGAAGGTTGCGTGTTCATATCACGCCGGGGTCACCAATTATTGAGAGCTAGTTGCTGTCTTAACACCACAAGGATCCCCAAATAACAAGTCTGGAAAGACTGAATGAATTCGGAAAACATTACTGCTCAAGAAGCTTTGTAGTAGATGCTGCAAGTGTCGCGTTTAGAAGCGAGTCGAGTCGGTGTAAAAGTATATATGCATGCGGTTTAAGCGCGTTAAGCGAAGCCTGGTCAAGTCCTCAGCCAAAGAGAAAAGGGTGCAGGTGTATATGCATGCGGGTTAAGCGAAGACTTGTCTAGTCCTCAGCCAATCAGAAAAGGGTGCAGGTGTAGGCGTCAGAGCTCGCGAGGAATCGATTACCTGCAGGCGAAGGCACTTCGACAGCGGGGGGTGCAAGAGTACAAGAGCGCGCCGAGACAAGAG